CGTATCCTAAATAACGTATGTGATATACGTATATTACGTATCCTAAATAACGTATGTGATATACGTATATTACGTATCCTAAATAACGTATGTGATATACGTATATTACGTATCCTAAATAACGTATGTGATATACGTATATTACGTATCCTAAATAACGTATGTGATATACGTATATTACGTATCCTAAATAACGTATGTGATATACGTATATTACGTATCCTAAATAACGTATGTGATATACGTATATTACGTATTTTTATATATCTGTAATTTTGTCTTTTTTCTTATCTTATATACATAATAATTACGTATATATTACATATATATTATACTTTATTTACGAATATAAAAAACGTATTATTTCCATATATATTTCCGTATATATATTTCTTATAGGGTTGGGTTTGAGATGCTTATCCAGAAATTAGAACTATTGCAACACGCATTTTTAGTATTTGTATTAATTCAGCATCAGTTGAACGTTTGTGAAGTAGCATGGGATATTTTCATACTAAAAATAGGAACTGGTTAAAGATAATGTTAAAACATAATTTTTTAATAACTAAAATAAGTAAATTAAAATAATTTATATTAATTATATATAGTTCACATGAGTATTAGAAATGGCTAAGTTGCGAGCTGATATTATTTATAATTGACAAATTAAATAAGAATCTAAATTAGCTACTACCAAATCATTACAAGAAAATATACATATAAATGTACATAATAAAAAATAAATGATATAATTCTAGATGATGAGATTTTATTAGATATTGAATTTGATTTAATTGAAGATGACTTCGAGGATCAAAATGATGAAAATTTAGAGATAGATCTTACTTCAAAATTCAATGATCATTTGAGTGAATGGTTGGATATACTTCAGCAAGAGATTAATTCTGAAAATGAGTTGGATGATGATTTATATGATTTTGATATAGATATCGAAAATATTGAGCATCCAGCACAAAATACTAATGCAAAATGGAAATTGGAAAATATATTCAAGTGTGATTTAAATTGTCCTTTTTAAAGGATCATTTAATTTTTTTCGTTTATTTCTATTATGATTTATGTATGAATTTACAAATATGTTTTATTATAAATAAAATATAATTTGAAAAAAAAAATTAGGACTTATTTTCTTTTTTATTAAAATTAAATTGTATAATATTTACATGAATGATTATATAAAGAATGCTAAGAAAAAGAAAAATATAACCTCTTACTATTTAAAATTACCTTTAAGAATCCATTCCGATTAGCAATAACCTTAGAAATATAAAAATATTATTAATTAAGAATGAAAGTCTTTAGATTCTAAAAAAAGGTAAGTATATTTATTAATTATTTAATACAAATAAAAAATTTTGACTAATGATTCCATTCTCTTTTATAGGAACTTACCTTTTATTCCAAGAGTTGAAAGTTCTCTAAATTCTACAAAAAGGTAAGTGAAAATTATTTTTTTAAAAAAAAATAAAAAAAAAAGATTAACTAACGCTCTCTCTATACCTTTTAAGAAAACTTACCTTTAATCAAAGATAAAAACCTCTGAATCCTACAAAAAAATGACAATTGTTTTTTTTAAATAAGTTAAAAAAAATTAATTGTTGTTTCCCTTCTGATCCAGGACAAAGACCTTTGAATCCTACAAAAAAAAGGTAAGTAAATTATTAGTTTTTTAATACCAATAAAAAAAAATTTAACTGATACTTCCATAAGAATCTACCTTCTATTTCAAGTCTTAAAAGTCTTTTGAATCCTACAAAAAGGTAAGTAGAAGTTAACTAATATTCTCTCTATACCCTCTATAGGTCCATAGGAACTTACTTTCAATCAAAGATCTTTGACTTACAAAAAAAAGGTGAGTAATAGTTAAAAAACAATATTAATTGCTGTTTTCATCTCTATATAGGAATTTACCTCCAATCCAGAATGAAAATCTTTGGATCCTACAAAAAAAAGGAGAGTAATTAGTTTTTTTTTTAACAAATAACAAAAAATTAATTGTCATTTCTATTTTTTCTCCATAGGAATTTACCTTCAATTTAGAATGAAAACCTTTTATTTTATAAAAAAAGGTAAGTTAATTATTGTTTTTTTTTAATATAAATAAAAAGATTTCAACTGATGCATCCATTCTCCTTCTATATGAACTTACTTTCTATTCTAAGCTTTGAAAGTCTTTCGAATTCTAAAAAAAGGTAAACAAAGTGTTATTTTTTTTTAAAAAAATAAAAAAAATATATATATTAACTAACGCTTCCTCTATACCCTCCATAGGAACTTACCTTCGATCAAGAATAAAAACCTCTGAATCCTATAAAAAAAAAGGTAATTAGTTTAAATAAAGTTAAAAAAAAAATAATTGCCGTTTCCATTTTCTCTCCATAGGAATTTACCTCTGATTCAGAACGAAAACTTTTGGATCCTACAAAAAAAAGTAAGTTAATTATTATTTTTTTTTTAATACAAATAAAAATATTTCGACTGACGCTTCCATTCTCCTTCTATAGGAACTTACTTTTCATTCTAAGCCTTGAAAGTCTTCTGAATTCTACAAAAAGGTAAGCAAAATGTTATTTTTTTTTTAAAAAAATAAAAAAATATATATATTAACTAATGCTCTCTTTATACCCTTCATAGGAACTTACCTTCGATCAAGGATGAAAACCTCTAAATCCTATAAAAAAAGGTAATTAGTTTAAAAAAAAAATAAATGTCATTTCCATTTTCTCTTCATAGAAATTTACCTCTGATTCAGGACGAAAACCTTTGGATCCTACAAAAAAAGGTAAGTTAATTATTATTTTTTTTTAATACAAATAAAAATATTTTGACTGACGCTTCCATTCTCCTTTTATAGGAACTTACTTTCCATTCTAAGCCTTGAAAGTCTTCTGAATTCTACAAAAAGGTAAGCAAAATGTTATTTTTTTTTAAAAAAAATAAAAAAATATATATATTAACTAATGCTCCCTTTATACCCTTCATAGGAACTTACCTTCGATCAAAGATGAAAACTTCTGAATCCTATAAAAAAAGGTAATTAGTTTAAATAAAGTTAAAAAAAAAAAATAATTGCTGTTTCCACTTTCTTTCATAGGTACTTACTTCTGATCTAGGATAAAAATCTTTAGATCCTACAAATAAAAAGTGAGTTAATTATTAAAGTTTTTTTATTACAAATAAAAAAGATTTTGACTGACGCTTCTATTCTTCTTCTATAGGAACTTACCTTCCATTCAAGCCTTAAAAATCCTCTGAATTCTATAAAAAGATAAGTAGAGTATTATTTTTTTTAAAAAAAATATTAAAAAAATATTAACTAATACTTCCTCTATACCCTCCATACCTCTATAAGAATTTACCTTCGATTATAAATAAAAACCTCTGGATCCTACAAAAAAAAAAGGCAATTTAACTTTAATTTTTTTTAAATAAAAAAAAAAATAATAATTGTCACCCTAGAAATTATCTCCTGATCCAGAACGAATCATACAAAAAAAAGGTAAGTTATTGATTTTTTTTTTTATTTTTAACAAATTAAAGCAATTTAACTATAAGAACTTACCTCTGATTCAGGATGAAGATCTTTGGATTGTGAGTTTTTTAATACAAGTAAAAAAAAATTTTTTGACTGATGCTTCTATACTCCTTTCATAGAACTTATCTTAAAAGTTCTTCAAATTCTACAAAAGGTAAGCAAAGGGTTATTATTTAAAAAAAATAAAAAAAAATAATATCATCTAATGCTTTCTCTATAGAAACTTACCTTCGATGAAGAATGAAGACCTTTAGATCTTACAAAATAAGGTAATTAGTTTCTTTTTTTTTAAACAAATTAAAAAAAATAATTTAATTGCATTTCTATTCTCTTTCCATAGGAATTATTAGTTTTTTTTTTTTAAAAAACAAATTAAAAAATTTAACTGCGGCTTTCTATACCTGATCAAAAAATAAAAAAAAAAATTTGTAATTTATCTCCACAAAAGAAATTTTTAAAATTAACACCTATTTTAATTAATTGTTTTATGTAATCTTAATTATAAGATCACGTGACGATAAATATATGAAATGCATTATACTATAATATTTGAGTACAGTACATTATTTAAGATAGTACTAGTACAATTCCAATCCTAAATATAACTATCCCTACCTAAGATCGTCCAAAATTATTATATAACTATCCCTTAAATTTTCCAGAAATATATTATAACACAATACATAATTATCTGTAAATTTATAAGTGTTAATGATACAAAAAAAAAATTTAGATGATCATCAAACTTTTGCTTGAAAAATGGAACTTTCTTTAAAGAAACAATATGAAATTGTCTTTTTATGTGAGCATCCAGCTGATCTAAAGTTTAGTTTTAGATTTATTATTAAACAAGTATGTTGTAGTAAGTCTACAGATATTTATTGAGTTAAAAGTTATCATGAAAATCAGGATCTAAGTACTTCAGAAAGACCAAGGCAGCCTTGTGTAATATCTGCAAAATAAGATGATAAGATTGTAAAGATAGCAGAAAAAGAACATAATATAATAGCCATTCAAATACAAGAAAAAATAGAAGAAAGAGGTGTTGAGCTTAGTGTAGAAACAGTAAGGCAACGTCTTCGTAAATCTAGAGGAAAGCTTAGTAATAAAATTTTTAAATCTTTGCTTAAAGAAGACACTCAAAAGAAAAGTTGCAATAGGCAAAAAAATATAAGAATTTTGATTGGAATTGAGTTGTTTTTACAGATGAGAGTTCATTTCAATTATATACATCAAAAAAAGGTTTGGCAGTTTCCTAGTAGAAAAAAAGTGTTTCGTTCTATTAAGCATCTACCAAAAGTTCATGTTTAGAGATGTTTTTTGTTTCTAGATTTAGTAAGCTATTTGCTTTCAGAGAAACCTTAATGTTGAATTTATATATACTATTTATGAGCAGGATCTTCTAGTTTCCACCTCTAAACTTTTTGGTAAAGGTAACATAGATTAAATCTTGCAAGAAGATAATAATCTAAAGTATCAATCAAAAATCGTAAAAAAATAGAAGGAAGAAAATGGCATTGAGATACTTTCTTGACTATTAATGTCTCCAGACCAAAACTCTATAGAAAACATTTGAAGGTTAATAAAAATTAATATACAAAAAAAAATTCAATCAATTAGAGGGTTAAAGGGGAAATTTACAAAAGAATGAAACTGATTATCACTTGTACTTACTGCAAATTTAGTAGCTAGCATAAAAAGGCGTACAGTTGTACTTATAGAGTTAGATAGTGACTACACAATGTATTAATTTTAGTTAGTTGGTTATGTATTTTTTAAATAAAAAAAAAATTTTGAATTTACTTACTTGTAGTCAAAGTTAAAGGTGATTAGATACTTATGATCACTATTATATTGCAAAAAAATATCACATTTGGATTTGGAAATAAAATTTTAATACTACACTAGCCATATTTAAAAGAATGAATTATTTTCTAGTATTAGAATTGCTAAAGAAAAATCCATTACTTTAATGACTGCAATAAGATATAAGTAGAAAAATTAAATGTAAAAAAATTTATAATATACCTTAAAAATGTAAGAAAATATTATGATTTTATAAATAAATCCAAAATACAATACTAATAATTGTATTTTATGAAATAAAGAATTTAAGGTTCTTGGCTATTTATTTTAACAATATTGCTGTAAAATATATTATAATGAACATGAAAGAAAAGATATTCTACTATATCAAAAAGAGATTTTAAAAAAAAATTTAAACATAAAAAATACATGTCCAAATATGAAGGTGAATTTATGGATTGAATATGTCTTGACTTATTTTAAAGAAAAAAAGAAAGAGTTTTTGTAATACATGATGAATACATTTTCTATTCAAATGATAAAAAATGTGAATTATAGATTAGAAATGGTGAAATGTTACTAAGAAAAAAAGGAAATAAAAGGTTAATTATGATTAATGAATTTTTAACTGAAATTAATAGATATTTATACTTACAACAAGCTGATATAAAAAAACT